GGGGGGGAAAGGAGGAGGAGGAGGAGGAGGAGGAGGAGGAGTGTAAAGTCGACGTTCAGTTGCAGTGTGGGATCCCGGCATGAACCCTGTTAGCGTCGCCTTTTTTTTTTTTTTTTCCCCTTCCGTGAAAGCCTGGCCTTTTTTAATTCCGCCCCTTCCGTGAAACCATGTTTGTTTTTCCGGATCTGGTGGTCCTCTCTCCAAATTTCCTCCAATTTTGATTTGAGAAATTCCCTCCCAATAGCCTCCCTACCGTTTGTGTTTTTTTTTTTTTTGCTGCGGCCTTCATCTGCATCTTTGCTTGCTGCCCTTCTTGCCTGCCTCTCGTCGCGTCCCTCGTCTGTGCCGAAGCTTTGCTGCGGCGTGTCCACTTGTTTGCTTAAAGAGTGTTAAGGATAATATACATCGGCTCTGCAATTCCTTTTCTGCCTTTGTGTTCATCGACATTTTTTTGAAATATGTACGCCACGACGATGATGCTCTTCTCCGAACCGGGACACACGAATCAGCATCAACAACAACAACAACTTCTCCGGAGCGGAATAAACGAATCGACACACCAAGACACAGAGACAGATGGAAACAACGACATTTCCCATTCTCTGTCCAAGCAATATCTACCAGACGAGTGGAGCCGGTGTCATTCATTGAGCGGAAACAGAGAAAAATGGAGACAAAGCGACTTCCCACGAACAACTGAAAAATTGTCATTCATTGTGACGGACAGTACATGCAATGTCATTCATTTTGCTTGATTTTTTCCGCGACTGCTGCCCTTCCAAAGGAGACAGAAAAACAGCAGTATGCACACCGGAACACATGGTGAATAACTCCGTTTGTATACAACAAACCATTTGGTTTCCATTGTATATAAAATATTTGCCTCGGCTCCTTTTTTCGTTTATTCATACATCCATGTGATTGTTCCCACATGTCACTGCCTCTACCCCATCGGCGGGTCCACTTGTTTCTTTCAAGGATATGGTGATTTAACCATGGCAATAATGGTTAAGAAACACCGCCCTTGAGGCTGAGGGGCAGTGAGGGCGCCGGTTCAATTCTGTGTGTGCACGGATGAGGTCCAAAGCTGGATGAAAAAGTGCTGACTGCACTCAAGCTCAGTAACCAGCCTGGAAATGGTACCAGGAATGTGGTGGCTGTTGGGGGTTGGACCCCCCTTGTGTGAAGTTGTGGATATTGTGGAGGGGGTGGGGCTGTGTGCTCTCACCGTTTAAACTTTAAAGTCGTGTGCTCAATGGAGCTAGCACGGGACACATGGCCGGGTGGTGTTGTGTGTGTGTGCGGAGTCAGGTAAGGACACTGCAGCCCTGCAAGGGAGGGTTGGATATCACGACCGGTACTCCACTTTTACACCATGCCATGGCTGTAGTGGTTAAGAAACTCGGTTCTCGAGGCTGAGGGGGCCGGTTCGATTCTGTGCTTGCACAGGTGAGCTCCAAAGCCGGATATAAGTACCAACTGTCTGCAGACATATGCGTGGAAAATGGCTGGTTGCTCACCGACGGGCCCCAGGTAATTCAGAATGATTTTATTCTGTTCATCTGATAGTACCAGGATTCGAACTAGAGTCTGTATTTCAACAGTTCATGGGTGTAACACTGTAAAGAGAGGAAATTAGTAAATTGCAAACCGGAATTCTTATGTACCTTTAGCCCTTCGATATAGCCTAGCGCAGCATCAAAGCACGCACCACTTATACGTCCATGCCGCCTTAGTTCAGGTCTAGGAGCTTCACCAAGTCTGAACTCAGGATCTGAGCCAATCACATTGAAATACCTGCCATTTTGCATACGCACACAGAAAATTCATTGCACAGAGGCATGCATACCCAGCAAACCCAGAAAGAGAGGTCAATTTCTTAGGCATGCTGCAACCTCAGGTCCAAATGCCCTTACCAGCGATATTAGCCACAGTACTTCACACTCAAGGTCGTTTCGCCTCTTCTTATAGAGATGCTGGATAAGCAAACATGCCTGCCTTGGATTAACCTTTTCTTTCCAGTCCCTGAAAATTTCCCACTCAGAAATCCGCACAGCCACAATGTGTGTGTGTTGTTTTAAAGGACCCCAGATTCTCTCTCTCATTCCCTTCACAGATCATCACAAGCCATCCATAACGAAAAAGTATAGATAGGCAATGTAATAGAAAATGCAAGGCTGGCCATGTTTGTGTGGTTCAGCGCCAAGCGCCCACACATCCGTCTGCCGCCAAAGCGGCACACTTGCACATATTCATATGTATTCCAAACCATAAGGGGATGGAGGGCAGCAGGCAACTTACCTAAGACAGAAGACTACTCCAGCAAGAAGGCACCGACCCAACCCCCTCAAAGGTCCGGAAAAACTTGGAGAGCCTTCCGCATCCGTCCACAAAACCGAAAACTCATTTATCAAAAACAAACACATAACCGCATTGGCATTCTCGACATTCATCTCAAACTACACATTCGTGTCACTGCCGGTCGGCGGCCGGTCAAATACAAAGGCCCTTTAGGGCCCAAATTTCCCATGTTGTACTAAATTACTTACAGAGGTATGCATACACTCGAAGAGGAGGAAGAAGATAAGAGACAACTTACCGGAGACAGAAGACTCCTCCACCAAAAACGCACTGACCCCCCCGCTAAGGGTCCGGAAAAACTGGGAAAGCCTTCCACGTCGGCCCACAAAACGTACATTTTCCCCAAAGAGAACTTGTGGCCACCCGCAAACATGTGTGTGTGTGTGTGTGTGTGTGTGTGTCTGAGAGAGAGAGAGAGAGAGAGAGAGAGAGAGAGAGAGAGAGAGAGAGAGA